TGCGGAATTTTTCTTTACATGCTTTGTTTATAAAACACATTTATAACAATTGTAGTATATAAATTAATTATAGTATATTTTTAAAAGCATTTATAATCAACATTAATAATATTAATTTTTCGTTTTATTCTTTTTTTCAAAAAATACAGTATGAAATTTGAACAGATATAAAATATTTTTCTGATTTCTTCTCTTCATTTAATCATTTGGTAAATAGCATTTTAATTTAATTTAGGATTATTTTAATTAATTAAAGTGTTTAATATTTGTTCCAATACAATTTTCAATTATTCTAAAGTCAGGAACTTGATCAATTTCAGTATTCCAACTCTTTCTGTTTATATCTTATCACAAATAATTTCAGTTTTTGAAGAAGCGCAACAAAATTGACTGATAATACACATGGAAATACTTTCTGAGCTGAGTGGTTTTTTTTAAATGCCAGTTTAAAAGTGAATTTTGTTTCGAACTTCCATTAATATCTGAAATAAATCAGTTTATATATGTAAACAGAGTTTGCTGGATAGTTGCAGTCATATCTAATCACATTCCTCTTCTTCTACACTCATTTTTAGTAAGTAACTGAAAATATTAAGAAGTAAAAGAAAACACTGAGGTAAGTGTGGTATTTAAAGGGCTGTCAAAAGTTTTCAAATTGCCTTCTTATATCAATCATTATCGTCACATTGTTTCACGTTTCTGCTCAGTGTTAAGGGTATTAAGGTATATTTTCAGCAAAAAAACTGAAAAACCGGTAATTTCATCAATCTCGGGGTAGCAGGTCATCTTAATGCTTACTATAGAATGCTTGGTGTTTACAAGAGATATGTTTTATTTAGTATGCAATCCTAATTTCAGAGATTAATGATACTTTAGCAATATGTGCATTAGTCTCTACGCTGGTAGCATAACATTTTACTATTTTGACTCGTAAGCGAGTATTTTCTGGCACCCTCGAACGGGGCACAGGATGCGTTCGTTCGGAATTTCAAAGTACAGAAATGGACAATAAAGAAACTATTTAACTTGAAGGTTCACAGAGCTGGGAGTTTACGAAATTCTTTAACGTTCTAGAAAGTTCTAGTTCTTTTATAAAGAAAAGTGAGATCGGATGTTCTCAATTACAGTCAGAGACAATGTTTTTTATTCGAAAGCTAAACGTTTATCATAACATATACGCATTTTATGATCAAAAATTTTTTAAGATAGCTAATAAAAATGAATGAAAAATAACGCAAAATTGCATAGACGTAAAGTTTAGTAAGAAAACTTTATAAAAAATGGTACATTTTCGAAAAACAGAACGATTATTGCTTCAGTGCACCGACATCGGTAGAACTGTTTTGACTGGCCTTTGAATGAGGAAGATTATATTAAACCACATTGCTATTTGCGAGATAACTGTTTATATCGTATTGTTCGTCCAGATCTTTTGAGGCTTAGGGTATTCGACCTGTCTTGTTGCACAGTGACACCTTTACTAGAGAATCCAGCATGCTTCTTGCGAATGGCCTTCTGAACTTTTATTAGGTTATAAGGTATTTCTCTCGCCTTCGTGATTTGGTGGACTGCACATTGGGCGCGTATTCCAGAGGTTCGTGGTTCGATTTCCGGCGAAAGGTGTTGCTCATTTTTCCTCTTGCTTCTTCCAAAAATACCTAATGTCTCTACAGTGGCGCCTAAGGTAACTAAACTAACTAACTAAAAGGGTATTAGATAATGATTAACCACATCCAGAATTTGGTGATTAGGTCCCCTAAATCCCCAGTCGCCCTTTAAAAAGGGGGAGTATAAAAGGTTTTTCTCCCGCCCTCCTAGCATGTCTTCGTGGTGTGGTGGTCTGCACGCCGGTGCGCATATTCCAGAGGTCCGTGGTACGATTCCTGGCGAAGGCGTTGCTCATTTTTCACATCTTCTGCTTCCAATTAACTTCATGTCTCTAGAAGGTAACTAGCTGAAATACTGCTTTATGCAAAGTGAAAAGTCTTCATTTATGCAAAGTGAAAAGTCTTCATTTATGCAAAGTGAAGAGACACGTTTCTTCAAAACCCCGTTTTGAAGCGGAAAACTAATACATAGCAAATTTAAATTCTTCACTAAAGGTTCTACAATGTTCTACAATTCTTTAAACAAGGCGTTATATAACAAGTTTTACTAAAAACTTATACTTGCTTTGTTATTGTCATGTCCTTTTCCAGAAAATCACCATTCACTTTGACCCATCTCTTCACCATTTACGAAATATTCTCGAAAAACTGACACAAAACGCACTTAAATTCTGCTTTAAATTTTCTGCATTCTTCTGAAACGTTCTACAACACTCTTGAGAAAAACTTTACAGTAAAAGAACATTGCGCCATGTTTTATTAAGAACTGACAGAAGAAACGCAACAATGATGACATGAATCTGAGATTTCAGAATCGAAGCTTTGTAGAAACATCAACTTTTTATAAAAAACAATTATGCATTTTTTGCTTAACATGTATGACTTCCACTGATACGGGAACGCAACAACGGCGACGGGAATTTAAGACAGTTAATGAGTACGCGAGATGGATGCAGTGACCATTCTAATATAAACCATTCTAATATAAACGCCATGAGTGCGGATCCCGTTGGATGGTTTTTCCTTATTTTGAAGGTTAACCTTCCTCTTGTTCTGAACGTCAAGTCTGTCAAATTTCTTCAAGATTTAAGTGTAACCGGTGTATGTCAATTAAGTATGATCTGCGGCAAATTTTTGAATAGTGGTGTAAGCTACTTATCACTCACTATGTCTAAGATGAAGCAGAAATTAAAAAGGGTGTAAAAGATGCTTTTATTCAGAACTCAAAATAATTTAACAGAAGATACTTCTTGGGCTTAAAAACCAGCCAGCATTAATGGTGCAACGCAGAAGTGATGAATTCAAATTGAAACTAAGTTAAGTCATAAGTTTTCCAAAGGCTACGCAGAACTGATTAACTCGCAAGTTGGCTGAAACCCGTACAGGCGTGACAGGCACTGTTGGCAAGAATAAAACAGATTGCTATAGTAGAATTGCAACTAGTAACGTGGCATTCGGCAGGCAGAACGTTCTCTGATTAAACATTCTAAAAATATTCCCTTAAATACTACTTTTTTCTACCACATTTAAATACGTATGAACTAAAAATTATTCTTGCAGAAAAGGAAGAATGACAATAAAACTACTTAGCATAAAATAAGATTAGATAAAAATAAATAAAACCTCACAAAGCATCAATTCGTCTTATATGCCCTCTTGAATACTACACAGGTTGCGAAACTGAGAAACGCCTGATATTTTACATTTTCAAACATGTATAATTCAAATTGAAATAATTTTCAGAATCAGTAACTTTTGTGTTCTTGTTACCAGAAGAAAAAAAAAACCTAGGTATTTACTGAAGGCTGTTCGTTGAGTTAGTTAAAGAAACCTTTTTTAGTTTAACAATTTACAGCAAGTGATCAATTAAATTCTTGCTGTATTTATTCTTGTGCAAACTCTTATTCTTGCTATATTTACTCTCTCGGGGATCAATAATGAGCATTTTTGAGATCTGTATGCTTATGAGCACAAATAGAGAAAAAAAAAAAAAAAAAAACTGACATTTTCAATATATTGCCCAAGGAAAAGGTGGAAATTTACAGGAAGCTAGTTGTGGAAAGCAACGTCTTCGGGACTTAAGGGTTTGAACAGGACTACTAATCAAACAACAAAAGAATAGGCCCTTCGTTAAAGAAAACCTGGTATTTTACGTAAGTTTTTCCATATGTATTTTTACATGACGTTCTACATGAATGTTATATTAAAGTCCTCTTTTTACTTTACTGTACAAAGCAATCGTAATTACTTCTTCATACGAAGTATTGTAATCTTGAAAACTTTTGACTATCGTATTTCAACGGAAATACCAATTTTTTAAATTCTCGAATCCATCCTGACTATTTTTTTGCTTGACGCCTTTATTTACGGACAGAATAAAGGACTTATTTCTTAAACGGGTAGCAAAATGGATATAAAATCTATTCACATAAAACAAAAATTTGATTTTTGTCAAATAGAGAAATCTAACTTCGAATGCGATTTCCGAGTTCGGTTACTTGATATTTGGGAAAGTTTTAAATCCGTTACGGAAAAAAAAAATACAAGATGCTTGAATCACGTACAATAAAAATTGACCCGGATATTTAATTACAAAAATGTGCAATTTTTGATATTTTTAATTTTTCTTGAGGACTAAAATAATTTGAGGAACACGTTTAAATGAAATGCAGCAAATATATGCATAATTTAATAAGCACTGCAAGGAAGCCATGTGGTGTGCGCATTAGGTTATCTAATTATATACGTGTGGAATTAATTACATGGATAGGTATAGAAATTTACTCATCTAAACTTTAATACCTCTTTATTTTAAGCAATTTTGAATCCGACACACAGCCAATTGTATTTTATTGAAACTTGACTTCATGTTTTGCAACTGACAGTTACAATGAAAGGGTTTCAAAGGCTTATAGCAAATTATACAAAAATCAGATTTTAAAATTTTGCTTAGGAATTTCTACCAACAAAATGCATCTTTTCGATCATTCTAAAATTAGTCTCCTAAATTCGTAGACAGCATTTGATTTCTGATGAATGTAAAGAAATCTATTTAATCTAAGAATTAGTTTAATATAGTTTTATTCAGTTAGTTAATTAAATTTGCTTGTTTCTCTCAAATAGAAAACTGTTGTGAGAAATTAAAGTAGATTTGTCAGAATGTCCGACAAAAATGCTGAGGAAGTCGGAATAATTTTATTCGTAAACAGCTTGAGAAACTAATTCTTCGGAAGTTTCTCCTTTCTGTTTTTCGGCAATCTTAGCGTTAACGGAGAGTGCGCGCACCATGACCGAATAACCAATCAGAATTCTGAGGTATCTCCAGATGAGCCAGAGAGTTTCTACTTCCAACCAAAGGCTCATCAGCCGCTTCAGAAAGCACCGAGTCTCCGATCAGTGTGGTGGTCTGAAGAAGGTGTTTCAGCGCTGAAAATAAAACAAACAAAAAACATGCTTTTAATTAACTGCATCTGTGACTGTTCGCCAAAGTGGCTGTGAGAAGCAGCATTTGGCGGTGAGTTTTATAGTTCAATCCTTTTCTTCCTCTAATTCTTAGTCATTGTTGGCAACACAAATGAAGATATAATTTCTGTTGTGTTGCTTACACAGATCAGTTTTATTTATTATTGTTTTGCAAAACATTCTTTTTTTATTATTTAATCCATAAATTTGAGTACCTGTGAAACTGTATTTATTCTAAAAAATTAAATTAAATTTTTTCTTCAATAAATTCAAGAAGTATTTATTGAAGGGATTAGGAATGGAGGGAATGCCATATTTAAATTCTTTTTTGCAAGCAATAAATGTTTTAGATGACTTCCGACGAATATTAGCAATGAATAAAATTAACTAATTTTGATTTTCCCTAAGGCTAATGCTTCATATATTTATGTTAAGTAAATTCTTATTTAAATTATGAAGATTTGTTTTGTCATAGCGATATTATTATTAGCAAGGAAATTATGGTAATATGAAAATAAACTACAAATTTAATCAACTAATTTAGGTATTTATGGATATTTATGTGGAAGGAGATATAAATTAAATTATATTGAAATATATAAAAAATTTGATATTTATCATAAATAAGTTTTTAAGTACCGTTCACCTTTTTAGTTTAAAAAAAAGTTCTCATTGTCAATAATAAAAATCATTTTCATCTCAAAACATACGACAAAAATTAACCCCGTTATGACATTTATAGAAACAGTAAATTTAATCATTAGAAAATAACATTTTATAAAATTAAAAAAAGCAAAATGTTAAGTTTTGTGACAAACACTTTTCTAACTAACTAACTTCGAATGTTAATTTTGTATTATATAAAATTCAAACGTTCGAAGTAAACTAGTAAATATTCGAAGCTGTTAAGTAGTAACCCCGAAACTTTAAAAAATATTTTTCTCATTGAAAGAATTATTTAAAATTACATTTTAAAGCATTCAATTTCATCTAACTTTTCTCATTTGAAACAAATTTTGTAAATATTGAATATGCTGGTTCAGAGATAAAAATAACATCATTTATTATTTACAATTTAAATGATATAAAAGCTTTATAAAGCAAATTTTAGAAATTACAAACCTAATATACATATATAAATATATCAGGAATTTAATACAATACATAATTTATTAACACATGAATTAATGCGTTATATATTCGTTTTTAATGCTTGTAACTAAAATGCATAGGAAGTGAAAAGTATTTAATGTAAATGGGTGTTTTCATTTTGTAACGTATTTAATTTCACAACAGAGTACTCAGACATTAATTGATTATTTAATGTACATTTGAAACTACTTTGTGTAACCTTATCTTCAAAATTCGTATCTATTGAATATTTTGGGGGGTCACCAGAATTTTAATCTTTGTTATTACAAAAACTAGTGGATAATTAGCTGCTTATTTTATCAACAAAACTGCTCTCAAGTGATGCATGTGAATGTAAAATTCAGCCCTATTATGCTGCAGATTGAAAGTACAAAAGTGATAGCTTCTTTTTTATATATATGTAAATAATGTTAGTGAAACTCTAGTATTTTTTGCATAATGGGGCATGAAATGCTTGAAATAGACGATGGATGCTCTGCCATAAAAATAAAATTACAGAAGGCAAGTCTACTTTACATTGGGTAAATGGCTATCTCGACAGTTTGGCGAGATATCGCCAAGCTCGTTATGGTTTGGGGGACTAATTCTTGTCACCAAATTCGGCAAGAAATAGTCACAACACTTGGACCAAAATGTCGGGCAATAATCACCGAAACTTAGTGATTATTGCCCGACATTTTGGTCCAGTCTTCATACAACTGTAATCAGTATTATGATTGAAAAAATGCAACTGATCCTATATGTAACTCTAACCGTTTCTGGATCTCATATGCCTTCCAGTAATTTCGAAAAGTGGAAGGTAATAGAGATTTCTCGGCGGCCGGGGGAAAAACTTTATTAGACCGGAGAGAGCATCAGTTTCTGAGCTGGTTACTTCAGCCTGAGTTCAGAGTATTGAAAGATCTATGTAGGAGGTTCGCCTCTTTAGATTCGCTTTGCATTGCGTTGTGTTTAACGTTCTTAATAGTTTGAAGTGAACTACTGTTTGTGCTGTGTGATATTGCGAAGAGCTGAACCAGTATTTTTGTGGAAAATTGAAGAACTGTAAACCGTTGCTTTTGATAAAATAAATTTTATGAAGCTACCATCGGTTTTACTTCTATTACGAATCCGTAGGCACGCAACAGTTTTTTCAAAGGCCATTCAGCAGCTTCTCTCTTTGCCTCCGTCTTGCTTCGTGACTGGGAGACTTCGGGGTCTGATGCTTAGAGCAGTTTCGGTATATGCATGAAAAGCAGTTTTACAGGCTCACTGATTACCGCATGAAGCAGACAATACAAACGGCACCTGAGGATTACTACCAAAACCATCGCCAGCTTGGCGATATCTCGCCAATTTAACGAGATAGCCATTTACTCCATGTTTAATGGACTTGGCTCCTGTAATCCTATTTTTCTGGCACCGCATCATCTCTTTCACGCATTTCATATCGTATTATACAAAAAAATACTACAATTTCACGTATAATTTTATTAACGTTATTTACGTATATACAAAATGCGCAACAATCTTCAAATTCCAGTATGATGATGTAGAGATAAGTTATAAATATTTTTATAACACTTTTTTATATAAATAACCAATTTTTCGTTCAGTTTCATCGTTCATTGAACTGTATAAATCTTTTTATTGGAAATTGAAAAATAAAATAAAATATTTAAGTAAATAACCAAAACCAAAAACTATGAATATATGTGTTTTTAATTGTAAGAAATATTTATTTTTTGTTAATAGAAAAATATATATTTTTTTCGTTAATCTGCGAAACATAAATCTCCGAATATAAATACTGCTATACTCTAACACTGTAAGTTGCTTTTGTATCAGCTAACAGCTGTCAAAAACAAGATAGTATGTATAATCTTCCGAAACCATCAAAATGTTCACCAACTTTTCTCGATGTTTTCTTTTAACTTTTTGGAGAAACGCAACTGTCGTTATCAGTTATATTTATCAACTTCTCTTGACATATCCGGCAGAAGAAGATTATCTTATTGACAAATGCCAGACGCTTTCACGCAACACTTAACTTTCCATGTCTTGAAAAAGTCGCGGTTGTTTCACTATCCTGCTGCATCTTACCGTAAAGGTTTCGATGGAATGTTTTGAAAATAGGTTAATGTTAGTTGATTTCAATTTTACGATCTACCTAGTTTTTTTTTTTTTTTTTTTTACTCCAAAGGCGCTTTGTCCCTGAAGGACTATCGTTTTCGATTTGCGATTTTGCGTCGGAACCCTATAAACGGCGTATCACTTTTCAAATCGCTGCCACCAAATACTATCGCCCCGTATTATATTTGAAGAAATTAAATGATGTAGAATCTACATAAATGTATGTATGTTCGTTGCGTTGTCAATAAAACAACGGTACCGAGAGCCATCCAGTTTTGAATGACGTAATCTCACTGCAAATATGGGCATCTGAAAGCCCAAATTTGAATTTGGAATTTCTTTTATTGTCGATTTCATATTTTGTAAAACTTGAACGAATTTTTGATTAACAAACTCCAAGATTTCAAAGCGAGCAATGGCAACACTCTACGGGGAAAAATGCCTTTTTATCTCCAGCGCGCGGAACAGTGTATCGGAAATTCTAAAGATATGCTCATTTTAAAATTATTTTGCGACACTGCTGTTGAATTGAATTTTATGGTTTAAGTGCAAAGAACATGATATTTAATAAATAAAGGTAACACATAGAACGTTAAAAAAACGCCACTTTGGACGTAATTTAAAATCTGAAATCTTTCAGACTTTTTTTTTTTTTTTTTTTTTTTTTATTTTTATTGACCTAAAGGGGCGTTAGTCTCCAGTGAGATATTAGTCTCCAAACGGCATTTTGCGATGATCACGATAAACGGCGTACCACTTCTGAAATTCTTGCCACTAAATAATACTTATTTTTTACTACACTAAATAATACTTGTTTTATTCAAAGATGTGGAATCTGTGTGAATGTATGCATGTTTCGCACCTGAAACGCATGCACCTGAAAGCCCGAATTTGGAATTTCGAGTTAGTATCATCATCTATTTCGTGTTTTGTAGAACGTTAATGAATTTTTTATTAACAAACTCGACGATTTCAAAGCCAACAGTGGCAACACTGTAAGAAATAAAACATTTTTATCTCTAGCTAGTCTATTGCAAATTCTAAAGATATGCTGTTTTTAAATAGTTTTTTAGTTTGTTGTTGAATCGAGTTTTATATGGCATAAGCGCCAAGAACGTGATATTTAACAGATAAAATAAACTCACTTAGTGAGTGAAGCCATCTTAGTAAAAAAAATGAACATTGATATGATGAGCTGAGAAAAGACTGAAAGAAAGATAGCAAACTATATGCCAACACTTAACGCTGCGTCGAGAATTCTAAAAGTGTACTGCTATGCTGCTTTTAAAATTTTGTCGTTTTTTTGTTGAATTTTATATGGCATAAATGCGAAGAAAATTATGCTTCGTAATGAAGCTAAAAAGACAAAAAATGGGTTAATAAGAGTGAACGTAACAGCAGGTAAATAGACTGCGAGCTCAGCGAAAGAGTAAAAAGCCTTAACAAATCCTTTTGGGAGACCGTTAAAATCTGAAATCTTTCAGAATTTTGTTTTATGTTTTTTACGGAAGGTATTTTTCAAAGTTCCGTGCAATAATCATGAATGAAATTCTGTTTTGAATGTCATTCATTTTTCATACGATCATACGAATTTCATACGATCAGAAGAGTGCCTTCCTCGCGAGAAATTTACACTGGTGTGCAAAAATTAAGGATGAGACGCTTTTTTCAATATAACTTTGTACAAAAGCTTTCCAAATCAACACATTTAATACCGTAAGATCCCCAATACGTAAGGACATGAGTAATGTAAGCAACACTTACTAAAGGAGAAATCAGAGGGATAAA